GGACCAAATCGAGGGGAATGCCGGGTTTCTTCCCCTTGCCGCGGAAACCCGACTAGTATATTGTTCCGGCAGAGCTTTTGTCAAATGGTGTTTTTGTCTTAGTTGTTGAATATGATTATTAAGTATTGTGCAGGAAGCTGTAGCTGTAACTACTGCGATCCAGGAGGAGATATTTTTGGAGATGGGGATTGGTAAGTTTTATCTTCAAATGCCAAGCATATCTTTCATCCAAATGATGAACTGCAAGTACTCGTTTTTCGTTAACTTACTTTGGTAGTAGTTTGTGATGTAAAATTGCTGCGATATTGGTATCGCTAAGCCCTATGCTGAATTTACTTACCCGTCTCTCTTGATACTGATACCGGTTAATTTTTAGGATATCTCTAAACCAAGTGGATCCTTCACTTGGATCTCTCTTCCTCAGTTCATCGTTGCTACGTTCAAATAGTAAAAGCCTTATACATAGTGACTCTTTAAGCGATTACTCAATACTCACTTTGGTTCACTAGTGGATTGTGTTGATGTATGTTTGGTTCAATTTCTTCTTTATGTCGATTTGAGATCCAGATCTTGTTGTACATGTGCCTGCTACTTACCGGAAAACATCGATCCAGCAATGGTGTTTTTTAAATGGATTTATGCCACTTATAAGCTTCATGCCACAATCAAGGTACAATCTTACTGAACTTCGAAGTAAATGTTTTCTCTACCGCAGATCCAAGATTTGGCCTATCGTGCTTGGGAAAGGTGAATGTTGAATACGAGAATGATCAGGATGTGATGATTCAGTTTTATAAATTCATTGCAAGGTAACCTCTTCTGCCCATTTATGAATTTAAACTTGTAATTGGAAATAGCATCCAAATCGCCTGCTCAAATAAGAAGGTGTTTCCTTTTTTTAGTTTATATGAGGATTCAACCAAGTGATGAAGTTGTACAAGGCCAAAGTTTTTATGGCAACCTAAACCTTGTGCTTGTGTTTTTGTTTCTTGCATTTCGTTCATCGTGACTACATTTTGTTCTTAAGTAAGTAAATCTCTGTGCCATTTTTAGGATATATATAAGGTGCTGTTTTTTAACTCTGTAACTTCCGTTATTGATTTGAAAGTTATCTGAGTTTAGCTGGTGAAGGATTCTAGAGTCTAGTGAGTTGTAATTTAGTAAACCTTGTGGTAGTATGCGTTACCTTAGATGTTGGGTTGAAAGAGCAAATCTTGCCTTTAAAATGTGGGGAAGGACAAAAACAAAGGTTCTGATATTTATATAGTATGTTGCTGTAAGTACTCATCTACAAAATGGCAGGGAGGAGATGGCCTGCGACGAAGCTGAGCTTGGAGCAGAGGAATTTGCTGAAAAGATGCATAGTCAAGAACAATTACAGGAACAGGTAATGTATGTCCAAATATGACAATTGTAATGTTAAAGGTTTATGTTTCTAAAGCACCAGAAGTAAATTTTCTTTTTTCAGCAACTGGAGATGCTAAAGCACATGCGTAAATTTCCCATGGATGATCAATCTGCAATCCTCGAGAAGGTATGTTGGCTGTATATAATCTCTTAGCTTCCGCTGGATCAAAAATTTGGAACCTAAATGACCGAAAGATTGGTTTCATCTGACTAAATTAGAGATTAGGAAGGCGAATGCAAACGTCTTGTCGAAATTCTAATAGCTATTTGGCATGTGATTTACAAAGAACAAAGCCAATGTATGTTGTTTTGTTATCACAGTTGCATCAGCAGATGGAAAACGCCAACTTTGATGGTGCTGCATCTGTTTTGTCGCCGGAGCAGATTCAGGAGATTGTTCGAAGGAGGGTGTCTCCTTTGTTTAACCCGAGATAGAATGGGATGTGTATCGGTGATGCAATGTAGTTTGTAATTTGTACTTTGTACTTCAGACTCCAGTTTAATTATCAATGCATTTTGGTTATTGAGTAACTTGGAAACCAAATTCGAGTTACGAGCTGCGGCCTTAGAGAAAGTATCTAATTCCTTTGGGATCGAAATTGAGGATGTGGTGCGTTGGATTTATGAAAAGCCTGTAAAAAGTTACCAGAGGTGTTTCTGGACAACTGCGTTTGAATACAAATGTAAAAGACCTTCCCGAGTGAAAAATAATGGGAAGAAAAAGGGAAAATGAACCCAAAAAAAGGTCCCACCGAGATTTGAACTCGGGTTACTGGATTCAGAGTCCAATGTCCTGACCACTAGACCATGGGACCAATTTGGTGAAAACTGGACTTCTTATTTATATAAACGCAGAAGTGGTAAAATAACAGTTTAAATTTTGGTAAAGTTATTGTTGAATATTTTTCTCCTGGTGTTAATCTGATCCATTTCATAATCAAACACATACAGAGTGACTAAGTTGCATGTCGCGGATTATCTTATTTTATTTTTATTTTTTTAACAAATAATAAGATAATTTATACTAAATCATCTAGAAGAAAATTTGAAAATGGAAACTCAGATGCATGAGCAAATTCTCTTGACTAATTGAGTTACAAGGCATTTACGATTATGTTGCTTATTTAAGTCACGCGAAAGAGATGTGCCTTCACATCTTGGATGAATCTCCTTCAAAATATTCCAAGTTAGTTAAGAGAGGGATATGCATGGCCTTGTTATAGGCTCCTTTCATACTCATACTATGATGAATTGCATGTGAAATAAGTGACGAAGCTATAATTTTAGCGGACGACAATCACATGACTTATGTACTAATTAATTTGTACTAAGAAAGGGAAGGAGTAAACTAAGGAGAAATTGGTGTGGAGAAAAGTTTAATTAGTTGGCCTAAGTGGAAAATGGTCAATCAATCTTCACACTAATGATTTAAAAATGAAAAATGATCAATCAAATCTTTATCGTACTAACATTTTAGAATTCGTAGAAGAAAACCATTTAGAATTCGTAAAAGAAAAAAATTTAGAATTCATGGAAGAAAACAACTTAGAATTCAATCAATCTTATCATACTAAGAATTTAAGAAAACAAAAGACTATATAAATAATAAGTTTATTTCAACTTTGCGCATATATTACGCTTTTTGCTTGTTAATTAAGTTGAATTACATAAGCAACCAATAAGTGTTGGCACTACTAATTTACTATACTTGTGGTTACGAAGAAAGAAGGAAGCATCTGGTGGTAGAGATATGAATATGTGGCACAGTATCTGGGCTCTTACGGTGCCAAATAAGTCAAGTTCTTGACGTGGAGAGCTATTAATTAGTAACCTTTTTATTTTTTTGAGAAGGAAAATAAAATTAAGAGAGGGAAAAATCCCGGGAACATCTAAGCCCTCTAGAGTCAAACAAGGCATTGGTAGCAGCCGGAGGCGCAAAACCAACCCAAACATGAAGGCTATTTAAATCATACCCATATGAGGTGACGACATCAGCTACAAAATTTGCTTCCCTAAAAACAGGGGTGTGCTATCCACACACTCATTTTTACTTCTCCCACACTCCTTGTTAATTTATGTCCTTTAATCTTCTTCAATTCATTCGATTCGACGATCGAAAATTAAAAGGGTCTGTGAGAAGTAAAAAGGAGTGTGTGGATATCACATCCCCTAAAAATATGCTTCCAACTAATAGAATCAAAAGAAGAGGCCAGCCATTTGATATCTTCAACAATAGCGTAGATACGCCAAGGAGTGCTCATGCTTATGTATTAATTAGTAACTTTGTTCCTTGCAACATGGTTTTTTTTTTTTTTTTAAATTGAAAAAATAAAAATAAAAAATCTCAGCACCGGTGTGTTATCAGTGTTGTATGGCAATGGAGACAATGTTGCATGCCATATGGGAATGCGAGGACCTTGTTATATTTCAGGTGGCGAACCAACACGTACAATGCATCAAGGAGCAGACGTCCTGTGGAGGAGTTGATATGGAAGCATCCCCCAGAGGGGATATTCAAACTCAATGTTGATGAAGCAACCTCCTTGAAAGGTTTGAGTAGAGGCGTTAGGATTGTTATTCGAGATGAAAATGGAGTGCTCATGGTAGGGTGTTCGAAACAGATTCATGGTCGTTTCGATGCTTTAACAACAGAATTGCTGGCAGCAAAGGAGCGACAAGTTTTCGCATATGTTGCTGGGTTTCATGCCATCATTTGCAACTTGACGCTATAGGGACTGTGGATTTGATCAATGCAGCTAGTGTTCGTTTTGATAGGGATGACAGTGTTTTTAAAAGAGATTGTCGATTTGAAAAGTCAGTTCAGTCTTTTTTCTTGTCAGTGGCAGGGACGCGATGGCAAAATAGTGGCTCAAGAATTGGCAAAATATGGACTTAGCAATAGAGGATTTAATACATGGATGGAAGATGAACCGATTTGACAAAAAAAAAAAAAAAAAAAAAAAATCAATTGTTAAACGGTGCGGTTTGATTTAGCTAAAAGGAGGCACTTTAGCTATTTATATCGCCGCTTGTGCAATAGGAAACTTTGTACCTTAAGTTCTTAAATCTTAACTTGATGCAGAGAAAAACTTGAGTAGGGCAGCCTAATCAGTTGTATGGTAAGACATTCTTACAAATGAACAGACTTATTGTATTCGAGTATTATCCGGCCGAAAGTAGCTACAACTTCCAACTCACACGGACCCAACCCTTATGAGTTGGCAAAGACATCTCTACTCAAATTTATCTCCTTTATCAGAATGGCTAATTATAATCGCTTGAACAATTATAAAAGAGAAAGGAAAAAGGTCTTCAAATCAAATTATTCAAAGCCCAACTATAGCACACTAAAAACCTTCTCGTGGATGAAGGCTTGTAGTTCAAGCCCAGTGGACTAGTATAAGCGGCCCAAATAAAAATTAGAATCTTGTGGAAGAAATTTTTAATTGTGACGGAACTACGGATGGTACATCGCATATAAGTGATGAGAAATCTTATTTTTTAAATTATTAACTTTTTAACACATATATCTCACAATTTATATATCAACACGTAATGTATCACTATGTGTAACGATCAGATTGAAAAATCTCTGGGCGGGGATACCCAATCAGCAGCCTCCAGGATAAGGCTGTCGAGTGTCAACAAATTCACATTCTTCTGTTTATGAAAGCTTAATAATTTCTCAGAAATGGCGGTTGCGTCCATGGCTTTCAACGTCGTCGGAGCTTTCAGAGGGCTGTCTCTGCGCCCAACCTCCACCTCCACCTCCATCTCCAGCTCGTCCTCCTCGTCCTTCCTCAGAGGCGACTTGGGTTCTCTGCCAGTGGGTCCCAAGCTATCGTTAGTGTCGTCGGGCCCTCAGCGACTGCCATTGACGATTCAAAACGCGCACAAGAAAGGAGCCGGGAGTACAAAGAACGGCCGCGATTCCAAAGGGCAGAGGCTCGGCGTCAAGATTTACGGCGACCAGGTGGCCAAGGCTGGCTCCATCATTGTCCGCCAGCGCGGCACCAAGGTAACTTCAAAACAACTTGACAAGGAAATGAACTGTGTCGAACTCGAATTTGGGTGCTTGTGGCAATGGGTCGTGTTCGGATTTACTAATTTATGTATGTGCGTGTTCATTTCGTTTAGACGCATGTTTATTTTCGGCATTTGAATTTAATAAGGCATTTTTTCATTAAGAAGGATCGATTATATAAATCCTAGAATATTATTGCGTTTGGTTCTGTATCGATAAATTAAAAGAGAATCAATAAACAAAAATAAATGCGATTATATAGAGGGAACTTTAACGAAAAGCACCCGATACTGTTTACTTTAACGAAAAACCACATTTTTACACTAAAAAGTCAATCATGGCACTATTCACTTTACCCTTTATTTTGTCCTTATCATTAAAACTCAAAGTTTTCAAGTCATTTTCATTAATTTTCCATTATATAGAAGGAGAAAATGGACGTGTGAAATCATTTTAAATGTGGTATTGTAGCTTTGGCACATGTAGAAATAGGGAGTTTTACCAAAAAACCCACGATGCTGTTCAATTTAACGAAAAATCACATTTTTACACTAAAAAATCAAACCTGATACTATTCATTTTACCCTTTATTTTGTCTTTATTATTAAAACTCAAAGTTTTTAAACCTCTTTCATTAGTTTTCCTATAGAAATATAGAATGATGTTGTGACTTGTATGTTTTCTTTGGCATCAAATTATCAGTTCCATGCAGGGAAGAATGTGGGGCTTGGCAAGGACCACACCATCTTCTCTTTGATCGACGGCATGGTGAAGTTCGAGAAGTTTGGACCCGACAAGAAGAAGGTATGATCCGGAGTTCCGAAACCCGTCGTAGCTGGTGGTTTGATAGGCTGCGTGTTGCATACTAACACGAATCGTTGATTTGTACTATCTGCAGATTAGTGTTTACCCGCGAGAAGTGCAGCCGGAGAACCCCAACAGCTACCGGGTTAAAAAGAGGGAGAACGTCAGGCTGCAGCGCGAACGTAAGAAAGCAAGGAAGGAAGGCTACATCCTCCAGAACAAACCCGAGCTAATACTTGCGTCTGCCGATGCTGCAGATGCTGATCCAGTCTGTTGATTCATGCTCATCTTTTGGTAAAAGAACTTAGAAGCGTTTCTGCATCATATAAGCACTTTCAAAAGAAGCATGTGTCAAAGAAGCGCTTTGACAACTTTTCGACGAAGTGCTTGGATTTCAGTGTACTTCACATAAAAGCACTTATGAACAAGAATGTTTCTACGTAAGCAATCTCAAACGATGAAAACGAAAAGAAAAGAAAATTTTAGCGATAGCTGCTGAGTTTCAACAACACTTTCAAAAGAAGAATGTTTCTACGTAAGCTGTTTGACTCCTAACTGGTCAACTTTGGATGGATACACGGAAAATTTCTAGAGAACGATTAATAATCATCACCTACAACATTCAAAATCTTCCAAACATCCTTCCCTGAGTTCCAACTTATGTGCAGTCCGGTTTTTTCTCACGCTGAACAGCTCTTGGGACGAATGTCATGCCACGAGTGGGTCTACGACCAAAGCTGATGGCTGAAGGGGTCGAGTCTGATGTGCTTAATTTGGAGACGCCAGAAACAAGGCCATCCATGGTTTCGTTATCTACTTGCATACTAGATGACTCTGCCTTCTTCGAAGTAGCTTGTCTGCGTTGGTTCTTCTGCCTCTGTTTTTTAGAAGGAAGAGCCTTCTTGAAAAACTCAAATGAAGTGGGGAATTTATGCTTGTCCACCAGATGTTGCTGCCGACTTTTGTAGTTCTTGAACTTCAAACCACAGCCTTCCACAAGGCATTCATACTGTTAAACACAGACATCCAAACAAAATTAAAACAACCAAACCAGTGTATGCTCAAACACAAGATAGAGAAATGTTTCATCTTTGAACTAAGATGATCGCTTCAGGGTGCAAATAACAAAGCATAGGTAATTAGGTATAGACACGGTGTAATACGAGGAATTCAAGGGAAAAAGAAAAGTATAAATTGTATTCTATGACAATGTCTGTATTTTGTGTTTGCTTCACACAGAACTCGAATATTTTAAAAAATAAAAAACATTCATAGAAACGTAAAAGCAAAACGTTCTTTCAGTAATAAACCTGGAAGCGTCTCTATAGACAAGATTGTATGTTAACAAAGATATTATCTAGAAAAATCCATGAGCTTTGACAAATAGCGGATCAATTCTTCATCCTTATGTACAATCCAAATCTGTACTTGGGAGTTCTTTGAAACTTTCAAGGATAATGATATGCAGTTTCGGGTAAGGATTCGAGTTATTAGCCAATTCACTATCAGTAAAAATAAAACCATGAAATGATTTCTACCGTCATGTTTGTCTTCTGTTTTTGGTTCTCAGTAGTTAAAAATCAACGACATTTTGGTAAAAATGAGAGAGGAACTGTCACTATGCCATTACTTCCTCAAATTCAAAAGACAAGACAAATGTCATACAATCGTACTCAATCAGACAGTTCCAACACGGATCAAGGAGGAAGATAGAGAGTAACTACCATGAGATAGCCGCGTGCCACTTTCGCCTGAAAGAAAGAATCGTGTGCTTCAGATACATGTATGCTGAGCAACCGCGACGTTGGGTAGGCTCTATAGCACACAGAACACGACGCAGTGTGCCGTGCATTGTAGTGATCTTCAAAGTCCTCCAAGGAACTCAAGTGAGCACCGCAACCAACAATCGGACAGAAACACCCCCTGCAAAATCAAACCACACACTTCACGTTCAGGAAAAAAGCAACAAAAAACAATAGTGTCTTACAGTAGTACACAAATTTCTTATAACCAGGAAATATGAATACCTGCCTTCCCCATCTACCATTTCTCGAAGCTGATGCTTTTCGTCTTCGGTTAAATCCAACGCAATCTACACGCAATATTACAGTAAATCATTAAGCAAAAAGCAACCAAATTTGAAAATTCAAATTCATTACAGCCGAATGTGCAAGCAAAATTTTGAAATGCTAATTCCTAATTGCGTTCGATGATTAAAAACCCCAGTTCAAATTCGTACCGAGCGACGCAAATCAGCTGAGATAACATCAAAATTCATAAAATTTACACCAAATTGCAGAGGCATGTAAACCTGTTTGGCGAGCAGTTCCCTCTCGATGTTTCCAGATGCGAAGAAAGGAGATTCGGGAGCGAACTTCCGACGGAGGGGTTTCCAGTGCGGAAACCCTAATTGTGCTTCTTCTACATCCATCGACGCCATGGCCGTTGTGCTAGACCGACTGTTGGTCTTCTACTGTGAGCCCTGAGCGAAGAGACTGGTTTGAATTTTGATCGCGTATCGCCAGATTGCAGTGCTTCAACCGAACGGAACGTTGAGCGGCTTCTAACTGCGTACTCCTTTCGGGCTTCGTCCTCTTCAGTCCACGCCATGAGATATTTGGGCTCCATGGTTGACTATATGAACCAAAAGATAAGCCCATATATTTATGGGCCTATTTGCTTGCGTCGTCTTTGATTTTCGGCCCTCTAAATCAGGCATATTTTTAATAATTTCACTCAAAATTCACATAGAGTTCATGAAAGTTCATTAAATTTTATGGATTTATATTTATTTAAAAAATAATAATGCTTGAGAGATTAAAATTTTAAATTACATGATGTGTTATGATTTTTAATTTTTTAATTTTGTTTTATGAAATGAGATGCTACGGAGTTAGTACTGTGTTTTAAAATATTTTTTATTTTTCATATGACATTGTATGATTGATTTGGGATAAAGTCACACTTCACGTCTCAGTTACATGTAATTATTCTCCATAAAACTATTGTATTATAATTACTAGTTGGTCATGATGTAATTCAAAATTTTGATCATACCTACTCGCTGAATGAAAAAATGCTAAAGAAACTCTCTCAAAAATAAGAATCATGATAGACTCTCTGTCACCGATTTCCACTCGTTAACTAAGTCAAAGATCCAAAATACTTAATCTTAGTTGATACAATACGCTAGCAAACAGAAACATGCCGACTTTGTTGCTAAATATTTAAGAATGACTAGCAATAATCGACTATAATTTAACCCATGCACTAACAATCTTCCCTTTATTTTTTTTTTCTTTTTTTTTGGAAACCTAACAATCTTCCTTAGAATTATAGCTCGACGATTAGTTTTTATATTAAAGGTCGGCTGCAAATCCCACTCTCCACATTTACAATGTTTTAATTTATTATTATTATTATTATTGGGTTTGTTTTGTAAAGATTCCATCATTGAAAATTACAGTTTGAATTTTGATAAAATTATTGTTGAATCTGATTTTTCTCCTGGTGTTAATGTGATCCATTTCATATACAAAGTGATTAAAGTTGCATCTTACGGATAATTTACACTAAATTATGTGGGCAAGAGAATTCGGACACGAACCTCAAGTGTACGGACGAATATTGTTTTTAATAACTAAGCTACAAGACACTTGCGATTATCTAGCTTATTTGAGTCATGAGAAAGAGATATGCCTATACATCTTGAATGAATCTCCTCCAAAATATTCCGAGTTTGTTAGAGAGGGATAGGCATCGCCTTGTTATAGGCTCCATTCATACTTATTTTATGATGAATTGCATGCATGTGGAAACAGCGACGAAGCCATAATTCTAGCATACGACAATCACATGACTTATACACTAATTAATTTGTACTAGGAAAGGGAAGGAAACAAAGGAGAAATAGGTTGAGTTGGCATGGCCTAGGTAGAAGATGATCAATCAATCTTATCTACTAACAATTTAAAATTAGAAAATGATCAATCAATCTTACATACTAACAATTAAAATATGAAAATGGTTAATCAATCTTATCATACTAACAATTTAAAATTCATAGAAGAAAAAGAAAGACTACATAAGCAATAAGTTCATTTCAACTTGCATATATATTACACCTTTTGCTTGTTAAGTTGAATTACATAAGCAACCAATAAGTGTTGGGACTACTAATCAACAAATTGGGGGTTATTGAGAAAGATGGGGCATTGAGGCCGAAAGGATACCGGTATCATATAAATTACACTCTTAACTCATAATTTTTTTTTCATGCAATTAAGATGCTATGGAGACAGTATATTAAACATGTCTTGCATTTCAAAATATTTTTAATTTTTTAACATGACTTCTTGTGATTAATTTAGGATAACGCCACACTTCACGTCTAAGTTACATGTAATAATTCACCATACTATGGCTACTCCTACTCATTGAATAATCCAAAGATCCTTAGCATCAAACTATCAGTTCCATGCAGGGAAGAATGTGGGGCTTGGCAAGGACCACACCATATTCTCTTTAGTTGACCGCATGGTTAATTAAGTTTGAGAAGTTTGGACCCGACAAGAAGAAGGTATGATCCGGAGTTCCACAACTCGTCATGGTTGGTGGTTTGATAGGCTGTGTGTTGTAGGCTAACACGAATTGTTAGTGTTAACCCTCAAGAAGTGCAGCCAGAGAACCCTAACAGGGGTTAAAATGAGGGGAGAACTTCGGGCTACAGCGTAAACGTAAGAAAGCAAAAAAGGAAGGCTACATCCTTCAAAACAAACCCGAGCTACTACTTGCGTCTGCCGATGCTGCCGATGCCAATCCAGTTTGTTGATTCTTTGCTGATCTTTAGAGAATGAGGTTGTCCTTGATGCTAATTTACTCAACATTGTGAGCAACCTTTGCAGATGATTCGCCTTTGCTTTTTGTTTAGCAGGCATGAGTAAAAGAACTAACAAGCGTTATCTGCATCATATAAGTACTTTCAAAAGAAACATGTGTCAAAGAAGCGCTTTGACAACTCTTTTACGACTGCTTGGATTTTAATATACTTCAAATAAAAGCACTTACAAAAACATGAAAAAAACAATTTCAACCAATTATATTATTACACTTAGTATAACAGACCGTGTTCACGAACTTCACGGTACATAATTGAGGATCCAGTACAAAATGCAAGTTGATAGCTTGTGAGTGCTATCACAAGAGAAATTTGGGTCAGATTGCTTGACTATCTGACTAGATAATAATGTCACGTCATTAGTTATTGCCACATAAAATTCCACTAACAAATATATTATCATTTATGTAATCGAAATATAAATAATATAAATGACATGTTTGTTTATAGCATGTCAGTATACTTGTTGATTTTAAATGATCGAATTAAGCAGCTGATTAGATGGCCGTGGCGCCTCATAATTTAGCTCCATCTAAAACATTCTCAACCTCTTGCTTACATTTCAATTTGATGGGTGCAAATAATCCACAAAAGCATTAGGGTTCCTATCATTTCTTTGATTTTAAGTCATTAATCACTTTGGGAAATAATTAAAATTAGGGTAAATAAGAGTTGGTAGAGAGATAATGTCTTTTACAAAAACTCCACGAGTATTGCATAAGACTTATTTAACACATTTGCTAAGAAAATACACTTGTTTAATATGGATGAATTTGATTTCTACACGACTTTTAAAATTTGAAAATAAGAACGTAATTAATATGAAAGTCACCTTCCTGTTGTCATTTTCATTTCAAGCTAGCAAGTAATGACTAAGGGAGCAAGTAGTGACTAAGAGGAGTTGTTGCCTTCCAAAATAACTAATGCCAACGAGACCCAATTCAACCAAATGGTCAAAGACATACACATAACGTTAATATATATATATATATATATATATATATATATAGGAAGCTTTTAAGGGAAATGATTCCTATTTTTTTTTTTTTATATAAAAATGGAGATTAGTTGTGAATTCCACACCACATCGAACTTTAACGATCCAAATCGTCTATTTTTCAAGTTGTACCTCATAGATCATCCTTACAAAATATTAGCCAAATCGAAAATATTTAAGACATCTAATTGGGTTAAAAAAATGAACGAATACTTTGTTATATAAGAAACAATGAAATTTGATCGTGATAATTAACTAGGCAAATGATTTCAGATTGAATTGAATTTTTGTAAGGAAGATCTATGAGTCGAGACTAACAAAATAGACGGTTCGGATCGTTAAAATTCGATGTGGAGTGGGTCCCACACCTAATCTCTATTTTTTTTTCAAAAAATGGGGATCCCTTTGCATAAAGGGCATATGTGTGTGTATATATATATATATATATTTATATTTATGACTTGCATGGTTCAACAAAAAGGGAGAAAACTTTTAGTACTGAGAATCGCATGGTCACGATAGTCACGTTATGTTACTAATTCACGTGTTATGATCCACAAAAGACAACATGGTTTCAATTTTATGGATATGCAACTTAAATAGTTAAACAACGTTTTATCCATACACATGAGAGCACGTGTCCAAACTCGTGTAACCATGCAAGAGTCATAGTAATTGAAATATTCACAACCAAAAAGTTTGACATCCAATGTTACTAGATGCATAGATGGCTCTACAAGACAATGACAAATAACCAAACACTAGAAACATTAATCAAAGTGGTGGAATTTGGAAGCTTTAGAATTTTCTGACAAAATAGGTTTGAAGGGCTGTCATTGTCTCTCTCAACTCCCCTCCATCTTTTGTAACTATAAAATAAGAATCCTAAATCAATGGAGATTACACGCAGAGAGAGAGAGAGAGAGAGAGAGAAGAAAATGAAGTTATGGAGGAGAGGGTTGCTTTTGGTGTTGGTTATGATGTTTTCGCAGGGGAAGGAATCAGAGGGACAGTTAGTAGAAAACTTCTACAGCGCTAGTTGTCCAAATGTTGAATCCATAGTGAACCAGGCAGTCTCTCGGAAAAGAGATCAAACGATTATCACACTCGCAGCGACTCTGCGATTATTTCTCCATGACTGCTTTGTTGAGGTAATGTTGCAAACTTGCATCCCAAGCATTGTGTTTAAAATGTTCCAGACAGTGATTTAAGTTCCCAACATCGTTTGATCAATTTAGGGATGCGATGCGTCGATCATTATTGCTTCGCCAAACGGGGACGCAGAGAAGAATTTTGCCGATAATCTTTCATTAGCAGGAGACGGGTTTGACACCGTGATCAAGGCAAAGCAAGCAGTGGAAGCACAATGCCCTGGCGTCGTGTCTTGCGCTGACATTCTGGCTGTCGCCGCCCGTGACTGTGTAGTCCTTGTAAGTCTTGTCATTAGACTCAATGACTAATGTTCCACAACACAGTGTACTACTTATCTCTTGTTCTGCATTCAAATTCTCTGCAGGCAGGAGGCCCTTCATTCCCCGTGGAATTGGGACGCCGCGATGGACTCATCTCGAAAGCTTCTCGTGTGGCTGGGAACTTGCCAGAACCGACCTTTAATCTCAACCAACTCACCACCATGTTTGCCAAACACAATCTTTCCCTAACCGATGTCATTGCGTTGTCCGGAGCACATACTCTTGGCTTTTCACACTGCAATCGCTTCTCAGACCGCCTCTACAACTTCTCGCCATCCTCTACTGTCGACCCTTCCCTGAATCCTGACTACGCCAAGCAGTTGATGGCAACCTGCCCCATAGCGGTAGACCCCAACATTGTCATGACCTTGGACCCTGACACTCCCTTCACATTTGACAACGCTTATTACAGAAACTTGGTTGCCGGGAAAGGGTTGTTGAGTTCAGACCAGGTTCTATTCTCTGACTCTGCATCTCGGTCTACTGTCCTCAATTTCGCTAACAACGCAGATAACTTCAACGGAGCGTTTGTCACCGCCATGAGGAAGCTCGGAAGGGTCGGCGTCAAGACTGGTAATCAAGGGGAGATCAGGAGAGACTGCACCACCTTCAATTCATGAGATAGCAGGATTCCATGTTGTACGTAGAGCTGTCAATAGATCAGATTTTGGTTCAATCCAATACGAACCCAATAATCCGATTAATAACAAGCTACATCGGTTCAATCTAAATCTAATTGTTAATGTTTATGGATTGAGAAGTTGAATTTGATAATCCGAAAACGATAGCAACCCAATAATACAATTAATAATAAATTAGATATGAGACGATACAAATTCGATCCAAATTTGATTCTGTTACATGTCTAATTGTACGCTCCAGAATGAAAAATAAAATGTTACGCTTACGCATGTAAAAAGGGTCTACCCTGAAAGGGCCGCCACGGGTTCTACCTTATTTCTGTGGGATGTTCCGAATTCAGATTCAGGCTTTATTGGACCCGTTTTGACAAGGTTTGGTTCTTGCAAAACTGCAATTTACGCTCTAAACCGGCTCAAGACTCGGTCCAAACCCAAAACCTAGCCCTTATTAAGGCCAGCCAACTCCGGTCCTTTTATGTTATCTGTTGTAAGGAACCTTTAGTTCAAGTGGTTAAATAGAATTTACCCATGCATGCATTTGTAATCCTAGCTTCGATTCACCCTCCACGGTCCACACTATCTTAAAAAAACAAAAAAAAAACAAAAACAAAAACAAAAAAAGAAAAGAAAGAAGAGTATCACTTTTGAAATGATTAAAAATTAAAATTAGGGTAAATAATTAAGAGTTGGTAGAAAAATTATGGTCTTTTACAGAGCATGCTTATACACTATGCCAGACAGGGCACGACAGTAACATGCTATTGCTAATATTTAAATTAACACATTTACTAAAAAAAATAAAATACTTTTTTAAAACGGCAGAGTGTCCATTCCACACGACATTTAAATTTTCAAAGGCCAAATTGGATTATTCATCCCCGTGGTCATAGGAAACTTGCATGATGACTCCCGTGGTGAAAAAACTAGGAATTAAACCCCTGTGGTCAAGAATGTTAGCAAATTTAGTCCAAAAGTAAGATTTCTGTTAAATGACTGTTAAAAGTATAGGTAAAACTGTATTTTCAGTTCTAATTGACATTTAAAATAAATAATTTTTTTATAACAATTAACAAAAAAATAATGCTTAATTTTTTAAATAAAAAAAAACCCCAATTCAATGTCCATTGGAACTGAAAATACAGTTTTATCTCAACTTTTAACAATCATTTAACAGAAATCTTACTTTTGGACTAAATTTGCTAACATTCTAGACCACAGGGGTTTAATTCCTAGTTTTTTCATGCAAGTGTCCTATGACCACAGGGATGAACAATCCAATTTAGCCTTTTCAAAACATGAATTATAAATGATTTATGTACTAAAAATGAATATCACCTAATTCAATCAAATCATCAAATAAATGTATAAACATATGACTTCAAGTGTGAAACAAAAAGTTCGAACTTCTTAGCGTGAAAGTCATATTAAGAGTGTGCTGAATTAACATGTTATGATATAACAATAATAATAATTAAGTCTTATCTCATTAAGTGGAGTCAGCTGGATGAATCGTAGGACGCGCTTGGTTTTGCTACATATTTTTTTTCTTTCTTAAAGTTTCTGTCCAAGTCTTCCTCTACTCATTTTATCTTGAGCATTCGTTCCATAGTCACATCTTCTAATGGACCATAAATAGGTTATTTGCATCTTCAAATAATTATGTTATCAAGCCTTATTTGATCTTCCTCTACCAATTTTTCCAAGATGCGTCGTGATAGGGATAGATAAATGTCATTGTCTTTCCTTGTCATCTCCCTTAAATCTTCTGTCACTATAAAAAGATTCACAAGTGAATGGAGATTAGGCAGAGAGAGACAGAGACAGAGAAAAATAAGAACTAGAGAGAGAAAATGGAGGTATCGAGAGGGTTGCTTTTAGGCCTGACATTTTGGACCCAATCCGTTAACTTGATTCGACCTAACCCGTTAATATTTGTATTTGGGTGGATGCTTAACGGGTCGGGTCGCTAACGGATGAACCCGTTAAATAACGGGTCACTTTGGGTCAACCCGTTAGCACTCTTTAGTTGAGAATATTTTAGTAATTTTAGTAACGTCTTAATGACAAAAAATAAACTTTATGCAAAAAATTAATAATAATAATTGTTAACGGGTGATCTGTTAGCTTAACGGGTCGGATTCGGATGATCCGTTAGCTTAACGGGTTGGATTCGGATGACCCGTTAACTTAATGGGTCGGGTTCAACCCAACCCAAACCCAATAAACCCAACAGGTCTAGTTGCTTTTGGTCCTTGTTTTGATGATTCTGCAGGGGAGGGAATCAGAGGGACAACTAGCAGAGAACTTCTACAGCTCTAGTTGTCCAAATGTTGAATCCATCGTGAAGCAGGCAGTCGATATAAAGAGACGCCAAGCGCCTCCCACAATCGCGGGCACTCTGCGATTATTTTTCCATGACTGCAGTGGAAGCACAATGCCTTGGTGTCGTCTCTTGTGCTGACATCTTGGCTATGGCTGCCCGGGATTGTGTATTCTTTGTAAGTGTTGTCTTGAGACTCCTGAGTTGTCACATCCACTGGACAATGTACTACTTCTCTGATGTTCCACATTCAAATTTTCTGCAGGCAGGAGGCCCTTCGTTCCCAGTAGAATTGGGACGCCATGATGGACTCATCTCGAAAGCATCACGGGTTGCTGGGAACTTGCCAGAACCGTTCCTTGATCTGTTGCAACTCAATACCATGTTTGCCAAACATAATCTTTCCCTAACTGATGTCATTGCGTTGTCCGGAGCTCATACTCTAGGCGTTTCACACTGCAATCGCTTCTCAGACCGCCTCTTCAACTTCTCATCGTCCTCTCCTGTCGACCCTTCTCTGAATCCTGACTATGCCAAGCGGTTGATGGCAACCTGCTCCAAAGAGGCAGACCCCGGCGCAATCAGCGACTTGGACCCTGACACCCCATTCACATTTGACAATGTTTATTACAAAAACTTGGTTGGCGGGAAAGGGTTGTTGAGCTCAGATCAGGTTCTTTTCTCCGACTCTGCATCACAGCCCACTGTCCTTGATTTTGCTAAGAACCCAGGTAACTTCGATGGAGCCTTCGTCGCTGCCATGAGGAAGCTTGGAAGAGTCGGTGTTAAGACTGGTATTCAAGGGGAGGTCAGGAGAGACTGCACCACCTTCAATTCATGATCATCGAAAGCCAAGAAATATTCATCATGGTATAACCTACTGGTTCTAATTAGTAGGATTAATAAGCACCCGATAATCTCTGAAGAAGAGTTTATTTCTCAGGAATTTAAGTTTTTCATTGTTAATTGTAATTGTTCCTTATTTCGACGAAAATCTGCTATCTTTTTCAATCTCTGGAAATAAATATGATCCCTGCAAAACAAGTAAGTATTTGAAGCTAACGAAACAAAACACCGGCAACGACGAAATAAGAGACAATCTTACTATCAATTAATGGGAAACTTGTGGACACAACTGATCATGAAACAAAAATTTTCAATGTCAATTGACAGGCAAAATTCAACACAACGTTCTGATACTCGAAAAGACAATCTTACACGACCAAACATAACATAACACTGAATTGGGACACTGATCCTCGAGAGTTCTGAAAAACCGTGCACTTGCCTCCATCATCCTTGAAATGTGGTTACAGAAACACACGAAGAATCTACACAACCTCAGACAAAGTATAGAAACATCAAACAATTTGGAAGAAATACAATGTCGTTCGAAAAGGGCAAATCAGAAAAAAATACAGGATGTATTGAACGGAAGCCTCAGCTCATGAAATCCCAGCTGGACGTGATTTTCCATACAGGTGGGCGTATACAATCTTAGTCCGATGTACCAGAATCATGCTTAAAACAAAGGCAACAATGCATAATCCGGACATGATTAACGAAGTTAAGAAGAAGCATATAGAACCGTCACACTTTGGTGCGTCCATTCGAAGCATGCCTTGGAAAACTGATGTTCCTGGACTCATATGCGGGTGATGGTGCTGATGAGCTTGCTTCTCAGCTTCAAAGTCGTATATACTGCTAGCAATCAGGCCAGAAAAGAGCAACGAACCAGCAGGGTTTGCAATTGTGAGGAAATTGTATAAAGCCCCGAACTTTTTCAAGCCAAACAATTCAGAAGCAGCAGCTGGCACGATAGCCCAATGAGCCCCATAGCCTAGCCCAACCAAGATGGTGGCAATGTGCATTGCCCCAGGCCATCCGAAAGCAATGAAGATATGCCCAACTGCCATAAGGAGTTGTGCCACGGCCATTGCTACCGGTCTTGGATAAGCAAAGTCCCTATCGAATGCAAAGCGAAGTATGAGAATTGAGAAGTCACAAAGCCAAGTTTAAATAATTTCTACAGAAACTCTAGATGAGAATGTAATCAGTTCATACCTCACAATGATCTCAGAGAAGTAACCGCCACCAACCCGACCAAGAAAGTTCCAGATGCTGATCATGGACACAAATATATGCGTATTGTCATACCCGAGAGACTGGCTCATCTGACCGAGGTTATCAATCACCGTTAAACCAGATCCAGAACCCAAGAGAAGTGAGAAAAAAATAAGCCAAAAGTCGGCTTTGATCAAAGCTTGTGTCAATGTGAAGTCCTCCCCTCTATGCGGACCTCTCCTCCTCTTAATCCTAACTGCTCCTTCGGCAGCTGCTTGGAATAGTTTCGACTGCAATTGCGCAATTCGTTTTTGCCTTTCGGATGCTGGAAGTAAGTCCATTTCCTTAGGCTTCTCGTCTTCCACCTCACTAAATATTACCTCATTTGCATCGTGCCCAGATTTCCCACGGTCTTGTGTCTGTGGCTCGGGTAGGAGTGCCTCTTCTTCTAGAGATCTTGCCTCGGAGGAAATGCTCAACGAAATGGGAATCACAACGGGAATCAACAGGAGCACAAACAAAACCGATGTAAATATAACCATCACGGTGTGGCTCAAATCAATTAGATCTTCAACTAGCATGACCCCCATCAAATAAGCAGCTAATAGGAGGCACAGGCTATAAATAAACGTGAAGCTCATGGAATCGGTTGGCCGGACTTGTCTGTGACCTCCAACCGGTCTGACTATAAACATTAATGCAATAACCACCATTGCTGGACCAACCGCAACCATGAAAATCAAAGATGCATGATCTGGGGAATGGATCATCACATATATCTGTGTCAGAATTGCGCCGCTCAACCCAGCAAAGCCCTTGAGTATTCCAACCACGGGACCCCGACTTTTTGGGAAGTTTTGCACACAAGAGACCAGAGCAACTGTGTTGAAGAAGGTCTCGCCGTTTGTTCCCACAAATATAAGAATGCACATCTGCAAAATTGAAAAATGTAATTGTTAAAGATTAAACCAAGGCAAGATGATAGAAAGTAACAGGTTTAAGGCAAAAGATTACTCCTTTTTTTATGGAAAAATTAACGTTAAACTCCGTCTTATCAACTCAACGTCTCAAACCATTTATACCAAAAAACACTATCCATTTCCAGAGTTTCAATCAGTATATCCGCAAAGTGAACGAAAAGAAGTGATTTTCGCACTCCCCTCTTCTCCACCCACCCTCCTCCCTCTCTTTTAGCCTTTGGATTGGATTACCAAGGGAAATAAAGAGACATAAATAAGGTGAAGAGTGCAGAACAAGAAAACGGGAGTGCGAAAATCACCAAAAACCATCCACAATGGCAAAGCACACGATCAAGAAATAGAAAAAGTTGCTAAAGTAAAAGAAATACAAGAAAAGCAAAGTAACTTTGGTTAGATATGATACTCACAGCCCACAAGTTCAGCGAAGGAGCTCGACCAGTAACAACAAGCCACACCCAACCGTACCCAACAAAATTCATCAGAGCACCAACGAGCAGCGCCGCCCACAGAGGCAGCACCTCGCACAAACTCCCCGCCAAAAACCCAACGCTGTCCCCGAGATCTTTAGCCACGCCCAGCCGCGCAATCTCCCGCTGATTGTAGTCCATGGAGCTCTTGATCACCGGTGATATGCTCCCGAACAAGTAGCCGATTCCCGCACAGGACTGCACCCACATTGCCGCCACGAAAACCAGCCATCGGTTGCTGAAGAAGGACCGCAGCTTCTCCTGCACCCGACCCATCACAGAAAAGTGAAATTTTCGACGATTTTCAGTTAAAGAGATGATTTTTTTTTTGGTTGGGTTTTTATTTATTCATAATTTATGAGAAGATTAGGAGGAAGATGAAGAAGAAGATACGGATTTGCTGGTTTGGGACACCCAGTGACAGGTTTTTATATTCTTTTTTTTTCAATTTTACTTTAAATTCGTCCATGTGACTGAAAATTTGTCCATTTTTCATTGGTCCGTGGATATCCGTACCAGCGAATTTTGAGAAAATTAAGAAGAACGATAAACAAAAAAGCCGCCTTTTGTGATGAAGTAGGTTGTCGTTTGAGCATTTATTGCATAAAGAAGTGGTGCGTAACATGCGGTCGGTGGACTAGCTTATATAAAACTGGAAAAGGAAAACGACATGGACCATGTGGTCTGCTCTTTGTTCTTCCACTTGATGAATCATGTCGTTTCCTCAATAATTATGTAAGGGATGTGGGTCCTCTCTGGATCCATGTATCCTAATCCTAATCCATCAAATTTATGTATTTGGACTATTGAAATTTGATTCAACGGTTAAAGTTATTATAATTTTTAAAGTGAGTCTCTATTTATAGATATTTGATCAAATTTCAATGAACCAGATATATGAATTTAGTAGATTATGATACATGGATCCTCTCCGGATCCATGTCATTATGTAAGGACCCGAGTTAATATTTTGCTTGATCATGACTGGTAATATACCAATATACCAATCCTGAAATAATTAGAAAATAATATTTTCGATATCTTCTTATTAAGGAGTTGTCTTTCTCCTTGGCATCAATCCAAAATGAACGAGCAGAGTCGCATCTTCGAATAATGATCACATGGCTATGTGTCAAAAGAATCATCTCATTACATTCAACCATCATGAACTCCTTTGTTCAAGCTTAGCTTGATGGTTTGCTTTAAAGTTTATGCGGAGTTCCGATGTATATGGGTGTAAGGAATCACTTAGATACAATGTTATAGTGGCTGAAAGGTAGTTCTCTCTTTTATGACAGTATTTCATATGAGCAAATAACTTTAGAATGTTAGACGAAGTCATCCGTTGGTCGTAACCAACGCTTCTTGAAGAGTCGTGCTGTGCTTCGGAACCTTATTTCCTTGTTTATAGGATTTCTTTTGAATTATTCTTCTAACTGAAACTGGTTGTAATCTTTGTAGATTTAGTTTGTATCTTTTGAATTTTGAACTTCCGTGTAAGTAGGGTTAATTCAAACCCTGATTGTAATCTGTAAGTGGTTATAAATACATGCATCCCACGCATTCAAGGGCATGCAATTGAAGTGAAATCTATGTGTTCTTAAGTTTTACAGAAGTAAGAGAGTGAACAAGATTCTAAAATCTTCATTGATAATATTAATTTTGGGTATGAGAATTATTATTATTATTATATTTGAATTGGAAGCGATGTGTTCATTAATCAAACTCATGAAGAGTTACACATGTCTTGGAATAGAAGTTCCTAAATAAGAAAGAGTTACACATGTCTTATAATAGAAGCTCCTGAATAAGAATAGGAGGCTCCTCAAACCAAACTAAATTATTGCTACTGGACAAAGCAAACTTCGCAAGCAGGTGTGCAACAACATTACATAAGCGAGAGACATGAATAAACCTCACCATAGAGAAAGTGGATGCCAGTTGCAGTACATCGTCCGCTATCATACCAATCGCTGATGAGTTTGAATGAGTCCGATTGAGAGTTGCAATGGCCTTCAAGCAGTCACTTTCTACCACGACCTGTTGGAAACCTTGTTGCTGAGCCATCTGCAAGCCATACCTCGCTGCATACAGCTTCAAAATTGGTACCGATATAACGCCTGGGAACTGTTGTACCCCTTGCCACCAAGTGACCTCCCCTCCAGTCCCGTATCACCACCCCCACACCACTCAGCTTGTCTTGAACATTTAACGCCTCATCGGTATTAATTTTAACCCACCTGTGAGTGGGGGGAGACACCATGGGGTAGGGAGACCCACCATGGGTATGAGATTCTCTTAATCAATGATATTCAACGTGTGAATTTTTATTTTGAACATTTATGTTTTCATCATATTTTTTGTGAAACTAACTTTATAGCGGATATTATAAAAGTAAAAAATAATCTAAATTAATTCCAAATTTAATTGTGGCTTGTGCGTGCTCATGAATTTTTTTACTTTGTAATTTTTATAAACAAATAAAACTATCAAAAAACCAAAAAAGATGTTTAATACAAGATAAATGAATTAACAAATACATCTAGGCACTTCATAACAGGAAAGTCGATATGTCCGAGTGGTTAAGGAGACAGACTTGAAATCTGTTGGGCTTCGCCCGCGCAGGTTCGAACCCTGCTGTCGACGGTTTCTTTTTCATTAATGCATATTTTAGCATTTGGGCACCCTGCTGTCGACGGTTTCTTTTTCATTAATGCATATTTTAGCATTTGGGCCCGGCCCACATCCATTTGTTCAGTTTGGTTTGGATCTTTGGGCTCGGTTGAGCTAATGGTCTATTTTTTCAGTTTATTAATAGGAAATAAAAGAGAGCTAATAGTCTCAGACAACGGAGTACATGGTATTTACATGTAAATATTGTGGTCTTTGTTGGGTAATATTTGGATGCAAGCGATATAGTCACGAAAATCAAACTCAAGATCTCGGGATGGGGTGGGCATTGGAACTTAGATTCACTCGATAAACTAGAGGTGGTCATTTTAACTCCTCTAGTTGATCTATGTCACCGAAAATTTGAACTCAGGCTACTTCGGTTGAAGCAGATTGATCTTTGCCGGTATTCCGATTGTATATCCGTATGTGACTGGCCGGTAAAACCCGGCCACAAGGCAACAAAGGTCTTTTTGTTAAATACCAAAATGATTTCTTAAGCAATTGAAAAGTTTCTTTAAGATCCAAATGCTCCACCATAATCAATATTAATTTGATTGAAAGAAAGGGAGCTAATACTTAATAGGATTTCAGAAAAGGAATAGGAAAACAACTACTTTTCTACGGAAGAGGATCCTCTCCCGATCCACTTTGTAGGGATTGTAGACATCCTCACATTCTAATCGTTTATCGTACATCATGAGGTCAATTTTCGTTAAGTACTATTTATGTTTAATTTTAAATAAAAAAGACAAATAATTTCTGATCGCACGATGCACGATGAATGACTAAGATGTGATGAATTTCGTGAGATTCTTAGATGTTACTGACTGTATAATTAAGAATCTATCATTCTGATCAGGTCACAAAAAAGGTATAAGTACATAATAGTAAGATATGTATTTTCTTTCTGTAAATTGTTCTTGTAGGGTTTTGTTGTCATACGGGAAGCTTCCTTTAATTAGGATGCATGTGATGTGAGGTGTAAACTACCAAAGTACTAGAAAATGTGAATGTGCAAATTTTTTTTTTTAATTTTTTAATTTTGGGGCCGGAAAATCAAACCCAGAACGTGTCGCATAAAATTCGGGTCAGGAATTCATTTCCAACCACTAAGCCACTGATGGTTGTTGTGAACGTGGAAATTGGAATAGCTTGATACTCTAACCTTACAATTAACTTTTTTTTTCTTTCTCCATAGTCATCAATCCCTTGTCTCTTCCTCCCAAATGCTCAACTTTATAATCATGCACACCTTTCATCTTTCTTTCCCTCGTATCATTACCAAACAATCCTTATCCCACTCATTATACTAGCAAATCACAATCAGATCACAGCTAACACACATTTCTTAAGTTTTGGGAGAGGTCAAGGGATCAAGCGCGTAACATATCGAAGGAAGAAGATGTCGGATTGGGGGCCGGTTTTCATAGCAGTGCTTTTGTTTGTACTGCTGACACCAGGACTGCTGATTCAGATGCCGGGAAAGAGCCGGTTCGTGGAGTTCGGAAACTTTCAGACGAGTGGAGTGTCCATACTGGTTCATTCCATAATCTACTTTGCTCTCATTTGCATCTTCTTATTAGCTATTGGTGTCCACATGTATGTTGGCTCTTAATTATCACTCGGTTAAAATACCACCAGCGTATGATCCCTTAATTAGCTTGTTTGTCTCTGCATCTGGATTTGATCTTGTACTAATGTTTGGATTTTCCCTCCTTTGTTTCGGAGATTTAATAGGATCGTTGTTCATTGTTAAATGATAGTCAAGTAGTGAAGGTTGCCGTTGATTTTTAGCTTTGCTGGGTGCTGGATCTTGACAAGAAACATCAGTACAGATGGTCAAATAATTCGTATAATTTTCTGTCTTAAAACCATTTAACCACATGATATTCAGAATCTGTGGATAGGTAATCAAAACACGCAAGCTTAATCAGTAGCTTAGCCGAGAATTATGCGAATATTTAGCGTAGAATTAACCTAAGTGGCTAAGAATTAAAGCACACAAGCTTAGTTAATTAGCCTCCATGTTCCTACTAGGTGAGTTTCTAGCTAAAGCTTTAACTGGGGAACTTCTAAATTGATTAACCAACTAAACAAAATTAATTAAACGGAAAAAATGTGAAATAATCTGCTGATCTCTCCGTTACATGTCAAGATCATGTGCTACTGCTGCTGAGTGAGATCCTTGTTAGCGATATTTCGTCGTGAAAGAATAACATTTATGCAGATTATGGAAGGTAAATGAAAGCATAAAGATCCTTGCAAAGTAGAAAGATTGCTGTAAGTTCATTTGCTATGAGTTCTTCATGTCACATAGCGGAATTCAGGAAGGTAAAAAGGTAAATAGCAAATAGTAAATAAAAGCAAGTGAAACTACAGAATTAACTCCACCTTTCAGCTGGTGTGCCAAAACCACAGCATTTCTTGGATCCTAAGCATAGACGTGAATGTCAAGAATAACAAGAAACAGAATGATGAGCAAACCATAGATCACGGCGTGCAACAATATCGATGCGATGCTCGTTTTCATGTTCATGAGTTCGAAGGGACGTTCCCTGCCGGGCATCTGAAACACCAATCCTGGCGACAGAAACGCAAATAGCGCGGATGCTATCAGCGGAGCTGCCCAATTTTTCATTGTCAAAACAAGATGTCACAGCAGAAGAATGAGGGAGGAGGAGGAGGAGGAGGAGGAGGGGAGGAATATAGCGAAAGTATATATAAAAAAAAGGAGCTTTAGATGCTTTATAATTTGGATTTATGCCCTTGAAAGAGGGGAATAAGAATCCCTTAAAGCTAGAAAGAACGTATTTATTCCACTTTAATTAGCCTTTTTCTTTGAGGTTTAAATGTTTTGGTGTTGCAGTTGTTAAATTGTTTGAGTAACAATGAGATGTTTGATTAGAGGAAATTTTAGAGTACGATGAATTATCTCACCTTTATGACTATTACTAGCACAAAAATATTTCATCGAAACCATCTTCCAGCATTCCAATCTCATCCGCCATCCTCTCGATCCCACCTTTTAAATTTTGAGCGGACAATTACGTTATTTGAACCGTGATCTCAACGCACTCAAAATGTTATCATCCAAAAAGCTTAAAGTTTTTATTTATTTATTGAGAACTAAAAGCTTAAAGTTTTACAACCACATTTCAATGTCCGCTAAGGATTAGTCAAAGATATATAGAATAATTAAAAAAAAATGAAAGCTTTGAACTAGTGGGTGGTGGGTCCAGATTGCACAAATCTACTCTGTAACCCAAAGCAGAGAATCGAACCTTCATCAGTAGCCAGTGGGCTAGTAGCTTCCTTATCTCCTCCACCGCTCGCCGTGGTTGCTTAAAAATTACAATCACAAAATTACAAAATCGTTTCCCAAATTCCGAATCCCAAGTGTCGCTCTCGCTCACTGAAAAACCCTAATAAAATACGCAACGCAATTCATCCCCAGTTCCTCCATTTCGTCACAGCAACCGAAAGCTCGCAACTTTAACCCCCAGCTCAAAAACCCAAATCCGAAAATCCAGCATTTGATCTGAAAACTGATTTTTTGAGGACGCAACAATGGCGGACTGGGGCCCAATATTTATAGGGGTGGTGCTGTTCATCCTGCTGCAACCGGGGCTGCTCTTCGCCTTACCGGGAAACAGCAAGCAGATGGAGTTTGGGCACATGAAGACCAACGGCAAGGCCATAGCTGTCCACACTCTCATCTTCTTCGCTCTGTACGCCATTCTCATCCTGGCCGTCCACGTCCACATCTATACCGGTTGATCCGGTACCGCTACTCTCCGCCGCTTTGGATCTCATATGTATGTTGGTCTGTCTCTCTTCCGGGCTGGCTTGTTGTAACTTAGTACTTGTATTGTTTGCTTTTGAGCTCCATATAAATATAAAGCACGAATCTTTTTTCTGACTCGAAGAAGAAGATGCAGCTGCTTGCTTATGAATTATGCTCTGGTTTGAGATATGAGAAACCCCATTTTTTTTTAATTAAATTCTGTTTACCAACTAATTAAGGTGCAATTTAAGTACTGTTCCTTTATTTGTTAAATGTTGTAGAATAGTAGTCTGAACTTGTTTACTTGCTTGTTGCCAAGTTGGATTAGAATCTTTCTGCCAGTGGATTAGGTTAATTAGATTAGATTAGAATATCGCTCGAACTTTGAATGCGACATCTAGAGTGGTGTTCGGAATTTTGAATAGCTACTCGTTTAGAAGGCTATGAATGTCTAGGCTTATTGGTGTCAAAAATCCGTTTGCTAGTTGTTGATATGGAAAATTCCAGAGTCGGATCTGTTGACGCTTAGCGGATTCATTTTGTTAAGCTTCCATTGCGCGGATAGAAACAGTAGGTTTTTATCTAGAACTTTCCCCCTTAGGACATTTACGCGTGCTTGGATGACAATGATACTCATTAAACTTGTAAGTCAATTCCATAAAATTAGGTTTAGTTCGTGATCCTATAAAACTTAAACATAATGGACCGAAAACTTGGCATCACTACGAGCAAATTCATTGAGATGCTCCTCCCTTACAATGTCAGTGTCAAGTGTGAATGTGAACCAAACCAATCATGTAGCACTACACCGTTAAACTAGGAACACAGTATAAGCCATAAGGGAAGAAGAAAAGCCGAATAAGGAGTTCGTTTACAAAAAGATGAAAATATATCGCAATATAAGAAGAAAAGAACAAACTACTCCAATTGTGGGTGGTGGCTGCAAACAATATGGATTAGTTGAAATGTATGTGAATACCAATTGCAATGATCAAGATGGTGATTATGCAGAAGTATATGATGGCATGAACAAGAATAGCAATCCCGCTTGTGGACATGTTTCCGAACTCCATCACCCTATGTCTTGCCGGTAGTTGGAATAGCAGCCCGGGCGACAGGAGGATGAACAAAACAACTGCAACAACAACCGGCCCCCAATCAGCACTCATCTTTCTATCTCTCTCTCTCTCTCTCTCTAGGTAAGTTGGAATGAAGAGGTATGAAAACTTTGAGGCTTCTTTCTATCGAAATAGATAAACAGAGCGTTGTGCTGTTTCCGAATATGTAGAAGGACGGAGCCTAATGTCTTAGCGAAGAAGGAGAGAGGGATGCTAAACTTAGTGAGAAAGAAGAGAGTGGGATTAAAAGAGGAGAAAGGTATTAGGAGAAGGTGATGGATTGCTTTATGGACAGCAAAACAAAGATGTTTGCTTTCATAAGCTTCTAATAATTGTTCGTTTCCAGAAATATCGTAAAGTAATATGTGGGAGAATGAAGTGTAAAGTTGAGTTGGTATATGCATATGTTTGGAGGACCTGGATTGTCTGACCTCCTTATCTCATACCTTTCTCATTCCCTCTTATTAACCGTGATCATAGAAATAAGAGAGGATGGAAAGAGGATGGGATAAGCGAGGGCAGATAATCCAGGTCCATGTTTGGAATGCTTTTCTTGCTTGGTCCATCTTTCTACACGAAAAGAAAAGACATTGATTTTAGCCGGTTTCTACAGGAAAAAGCTAGAATGCGTACTCAAGGAATTATCATGCAGAAACATGTCCGCTACTTTTGACTGCGGTCAATAAAGAAAATAGACGGAATTGCATATATTCTCCTCGTGTTGTCTCATCTCGTGTTGTCTCATGTTGAGCCATATGTGGTAAAAATAGTGTTATCTCACGTGGATCAACCTCGATCAAAATTGATATTTTCATCCCAAAGTACACACGTGTTTCACAATGGTAAAAAATTTCACTTCTTAATTTTGACCGAGATTGGTAACCGGCTCCATTGTATGGGTTTGATTTAACGGTTTTTGTTACCACATGGGGCTCACTTCTATGAGCATGTATTCATTAGAGTTGTCTGAATAGGGTAACTTTCGAACAAATTAAGGATTGTGAGTCGTCATGTTTTGCAAGAGGGCCACAAATTACGCGATTGAAGCATCCTTACACGAAATTTTCTTCACATCTGTAAGAGTAATGTTATTCATACTATGTTTTTGTACCATATTTTCATACCATCTTAGGTGACATTTGATGTGGACAGCCACATCATTTGAATTAATCAGATTTTTAAATTTAGTTCATTATTTAATAAATTAATAATTAAGAAAAATTAGTTAATTAAATGATAATTGTGGTATTCAAGGTGTCTTTCTCCTTCATTTCCTTGGGTTTTACAAATTTTCAAATGATATGGTTGTCCACATCAGATGCCACCTAAGATGGTATAGAAATATGATATAAAAATATGGTATGAATAACATTACTCCATCTGTAATTTAGCCAAATCAGAAGTTTTTTGGCTACAAATTAATACGATGGTGTTCGAGTACTTAGGTTATGTTGGCAACAAATTGGACCCACAAAGGTTAAAGTATTGGGCCTACGTTGAGGCCCAAGAATAAGTGGATTTGGGCCAGAAACAAGAGCCCAATATCAAATCACTGTAGCCCATATTTTCCCAAAGTCCAAACAAAAGTGCCACGTAATGCCATCCAATGAGTAAAACGAGGAAGCCGTCTTAGTCCGGAAGCCGTCTTTGTCCGAAGGAAAGATACCGTCGGCTGTTTTCTAACTCTTTGCTTCGTCGTGGAGGCCGGAGTATTCGACCTCTTTTTGTCTCGTTGAATTCCCGTTTTGTCCCTTTCCCGCCCGGACTCACCCTTTTTATGCTCCTTCCTTCTCGTTGCCCTTTCATTTCCACTTCCACCGTACCAGTCATTGTGTTCTTTATTATTCTATCCATCGACGTTGCTCGGAGCCTCGACCTTACTGCGAAACTAGTTTGTTGAAAGCATGGCGGATTGGGGGCCAGTTGTGATAGCGGTGGTGCTGTTTGTGTTGTTGACGCCGGGGCTGCTGTTTCAGCTGCCGGGGAACAGCCGGGTGGCGGAGTTCAACAACATGCAGACCAGCGGGGTTTCCATCTTGGTTCACACCATCATTTACTTTGGCCTCATCACCATTTTCCTCATCGCCATCGGCGTTCACATCTCCACTGGCTAGCTTATATGCACGCTATCCGTCTGCAGCATTTACATTTTTCCGATACGCGCGCATGCATGCAGGGGGATGCATGAATGAATTGTTTTGTGATCTTAGTAAGAGTTTGAGTGTGTTCGATTAAATTTATCAGCACCTGTTGTCTATGAATGTTATATGTTTGAAAACTTGAAAGCAAGCTACTTGGATCAGTCTCACTAATTAAGTGCGTGTTTGGTTCACTCGCGGAACTGGTTCTTCGAAAATGAATTAATATAAGCCAAAGCAAGATGAATAAAACGTTCAACACATATTTTGTGCACCAAATGAAAAATTCAACATGACATAACTTTTTGCTGCTTGTAATATTCTCTGGACAATTGTTGACTTGATTAGAGTGATGTGGTCTCGTCAATCAACGATGGCTTTATCATATTCTTGATTTTTGGTAATAACATTGTACGCATCTCTATGCACTTGTTGATTAATAAAATATCGTTATTCCTCTTGTCATAAAAATCCAATTCAATATGGGGAGGGCCAGGCTAGATCTTGTTCTGGGCCCACATGTAGAAGATTCCATGTGTGAATTATGTTGGGCCATACAAGTCTCATCAATTTTGCCCTTAATTGTTAGCAACCCAACAGCCCAACACGGGAGACAGGTGTATTTTGTTCCTCTTTTTTTATTGGACCGACAATGAAGAGGTTTTATTTTCCAACACATTCAGTCATCTTGTTGGGTTGATTTCATATGTTTTGAGCAAATTTATAGGGTCTGATATTGTGGTCACGTTTGTTTTTGAGTGGCAAAGCAACTCCACCAACATGATGTGATCGATTTCGTAGTGGTTCATTTTCAGTCCTTATTGGTTCATTTCAGACCATACAATGATAATTGATGATTAATTTTTTTTTTTAAATCAGTAAATAAGATTTAATTACCAATCGTCACATAATATAGTTAGAAAATACATACCCTTTAAGGGAAGTGATCCTCATTTTATTAAAAAAATGAGAATTAGGTGTGGGACACATTCTGCAACGAACTTCAACAATCTGAACTCTCTATTTTGTAAATCTCAATTCATAGATCATACTTACATAAGACATTTGCTAAGATCAACAAATTTCGTCCATATTTCTAACATGTCAGTTAAATATCGAAAAAACTTTTATATTTCGTCTAAACCAATGTTTGACATTCCCTAAATTTTCATTTTAAATTTCTATCATTTACATCAAAAGTAACCGATATCAATATATCCATCAATATTTTCATATATTTACAGATATCTTCATAGGTATCAATATTTTAAACACTACGAATACACACACGTACCCAAATACATAAATATTAAAATATAATAATAATAATAATAATAATAATAATAATAAAACATAGTGGCCTTACATTACAAAGTCAAGTCGGGATCTCATACAAGTCATACACGATATCACACGACACATAATCTCAAACACAGAGCGGCGGGGTCCACTCGGCGGGACGTCTCAGTCTCGACAGATGTCACCGCAGTTGGTGGACGGGGCAACCTGAGTTATTGCCACATGTACAATATAGTACATAAGTTGCCTACACCCCTGGAAAAGTAGTTAAAACAACTGTAGTATGGTGGCCGGAACATAGTCTTCGCTGCTGCGGCTGTTGTTGGTGGTGGTGGTGGTGTTATTAGCGGCGGAAGTGCTCTGCCGATCCGCTTCCTCATCGGCAGCTCGGTCCTTGCTCTGCTGCTCCTTCAGCTTCAGTGCTGCAATCTGAAAAATTAAAGCCATCAAGTGACTGAGTACTAGGTATATATTTAACTTGCTTTTCTGTCACAATTTCTACCTTAATTTCTTCAACAACTCCACAAATATATAATTATATTTATATACCTCATTTTCCAAGCGAACCTTCTCTTCTTTCATCTGTTTTTCCTGTTCAGATTAGAGCTATGCATAAATATTTACACCAACATATCAATTGCACCAATTACAATTCAATGACATAGAAAATATGGATATAAATATGGCACCAGCAGAAATTCAGTGATCAAACAACTGAGAATATAAGAAAAATATTAAGTGAACCAACATAGTCGATCTTAATGTACACACCACAAAAAAATGAAGCAACAAAAATGAGGCGGGGGAGAAAGATTAGAACCCCTTTCCCCGTTACACATAAAAGTACAGTGCCATGGATAAAACTGGCTGTGTTGGGGCCGGAAAAGTGAACTGGGGCAGGGGAGAAAGATGAGGAAGAATTGTACGTTAGCCATAAGATTGAACAGGGAGGATCGACTAGGGTGTCTGATGAGAGAGAGCCTAAATCTAAGCTGATACTGTGTAGAAAAAGGACTTTTATTTTTCATTCATTCACAAATTTACAACATACAGTGAACCTAATCTAGAAGATTACGGAGAGATTTTGGAGAGAGACAATCTGGCTAATATGGATGAATCATATATTTTGTAGTTCAAACTTTACTCAAAACCTGAAGAAACACCTGGATATCATGGAAACAACAGAACTTACTACCATCACAATTGTCCAGAAATTAATACTCTTCACAGGATTTACCACTTCCAAAACTCAAGGACAATAGCATATAACAAAAGAGAAGAGACATTTCAAACATTATTGATCATCGACGAAATCCCAGCAAGAAAAAGAAACTATATATGCAGGTTTGTATTCGAAAATAGGTACTTGAGCCATTGAAACCAGTCTGAGTGAAACCATAATGCTATTTTTAGGTTCTTTTTCCATGTTCTGTCTCAGTAAACCAGAATACGAACTAGTTAACAAACCTTTATTGATCTTGTTTGTCGTAGAACTGCATCCAATTCCTTCTCAAGCTGGGTGAGCTCTGGAACATCTAGATTATCAATGTCTTGTGTTTCCATATCGCTGCAAGAACATAATCAGATATAAGTCATCAGATATAAGTCACGTGGGTGCAATGTAATGAAGCTTCTGTACATGATACTTACCGTTTAAATATTTTCAGAGATCGGTTAGCGCCTGTGCGGAGACCACTGCTTTCTGAATTATGGTTCTGCAGCCGAGATTAGCAGGATGTGAGAAGAGACGATGTGGTAAATGATAAACATCTATTCTTATCCAGAGAACATAGGCTGAAAGTATTGCTACTGGCTTTTGTAATTATTTTGACAGTGATACAAAAATTTAAGTCCTAACAAATACAGTAAATTGGTTGTCTGGATCTGATACAAATGTTAAGAGTGACTTCTGTTAAAAAGAATGGAAAATGATATTTTTCATATTTATTGAGGTGCAAAGTATCGCATTTAGAGTGACAAGACATACTAGAAATTAAATCAAGGAAAAAATCATGCATGATGTAGGTTAAGAAGACTAGTAGAGTTGGTTGAGACTTGACAGAGTTTACCACATTGGCTTGGCAGAGTTTAACACATTGGTGGAGTGAAATTAGGCATGATTGGGAAGCAATTGGTACTCCCCATCTAACACAAGGGCAAGGGCTTGAGAGCATCTGGAGACTAAGAAGCGACCGCAATGACGGGCCTTGAGATTCCATCAGGAAACCTAATGGCAGGGGGTAAGTAGGCCAACCTCTTATAAGCTTATGCAAGGTTTCTTAAATCTACAAAGTTTCACATCTTCACATCTTCACATGCTCCTCACCTGTAGCAAGGTTCGCACAACACATAAGAACAGTATCTAATTTGGAGCACATGTGGCCATATGGCTTCAAATGTTGGATAACTTATTCTATACTATGATGGAAGTTGAGATTACGGGAGAAGTAGTCTAACTCATTATAAGGATGTTTAGGATTTCTAAACTTTTCAATATGAGACACCTTTCTATATCTTCACATGTGCTTCACGTGTGACGACGATCAAGTAAAACATAGGAGCATCACATATTGAAATCGAAGGACTCGCTTGAGCACGTGTGGCTGGGTAAGGTCAAAAGTGGGCTAAGTTGCACTTATATCATGGAAGAAGTTGAGCTTCACCCTTAACTTTCTAAGGAATAGCTTTCGCATATCCTCACATGCCTCCAATGTCTGGAGGCACTCAAGCTAATCATGTGGACAACACATATGAAGTGACTTGGAGCACATGTGATCATAGAGTTTTACATGTGAGCCAAATTGGACTCCCGAAATAAGGCTACAACGACAAAGACTTTGTCTATTCCTAAATAGGTTGTGACTAGAAGGAACTCGTCTCATCCTCACACACCTTCTAACATTGATGAAACTTAAAGCACAACGCATGGACAAATTAACCGGGTGACCTAGAACAGGTATGGCCTTTGGGCTTCACATATAGACTAACCAACTCCGATACCATGAAGTGGAAGTTTAATCCAGAGATCAATTGGAAATAAGGGCAGAGGCCCCAACTTCTAATAAGCTCTGGGGAACAAATCTTCCGATTCTCACAGTTATGGAGTGAAACTACACATAATTGGGAAGCAATGGACAAGCTTACTTTTTCACCTGCACCTTACAAACAAACAGTGAAGTTGGGGAGGGGAGCTAATACAGGACACTTGCAAGGTGGGCTGTGTTACCATGTAGACAGTGACCACAAAAGCTTAAATGGATAAAAATTTGACCAACAACGTACATCAAACTTAGTTTTTCACCGAGCTCGATAACTTGGTAGATTAACATATAGGTGAATCCAATTTATGATTTCAAATTCACACACTGTTGATAAGTATGCTTATTAATCCAATCTTGCTCAGATGGTGATTGCGTGTTTGATTCCTGGCAGGTGTCTCATATACTAAGGTTTCAAAGAAGATTACATCTTACAAGTGAAAATAACAAGAATTGTTAACTACTAGGATATAATCCTGTTCATTTTACGCAGGGTTAAACGTTTGACTAACCTTGTCAGTACCATCAGCAGTCTTGGCAGCAGCAATCTCCTCATCATTATGTACCTGGTAACGCTCCAGAAGCTTTTCAAAACTGTAGATAAGGGTCACAAGAAAAAATATATATATCAGAAGCAAGATTATTTTATGCACTGATTAATATGACAGAAACAAATAATCCATGATATACTTACACGACAAAAGATGCCATTGGTACGAATATAATTCATCTAAAAAGTAGAATTAAATTGAAATAAAACATCTAGGAAGTCTAATTGTCAAGAAGCATGCACAAACAGACACGCCCCAACTCCAAAACCCTAGAAGAAGTTGGGGTTTCACTATAAATCCAATTGGTGATATAATGAGTAGACCAATTAATTACTTATTAACACATGCAAGGTTTCAACTTTTTTCGATGTGGGATTGTTACTCTCAACACTCTCCATTGGGTGTTGTAGGTTTTTCAAATAGGGTGTCATCAAGAGCGTGTGACCGTTGAGCTTCACACATGAGACAATCTACTTTGATACCATGAAGAAGTTGAGGTTACACCACAAATCAATTGGCAATATGAAAGTAGGCCAATTACTTATAAGCACATGCAAAATATCTCATTTCTTGATATGAAATTGTTACTCTCAACACACACCCATATAGAAAAGGAGGCCTAGGGCTGGCTATGTAATGCAAATATATGAAGCCTCAAAAGGGGTCCACTCCTTACTCATGTCAAACATTTCAATGATCTTTTAAAAAAAAAAAAAAACGAAATCGGCTTACTATTCCTAATAGTGGAGTCCATGCATGTGAGATATCAAGGGATTTAGAACAAAAAAAAGAAAAAAATGCACCACGTACTATTAGTATGAGGAATTTGAAATACAGTATATGATCGTTATAACGATAAACAAAGTATTAAGAAATGACTCATATGAAGTAACCATTTGTACATCTCTTTTAGTCATTACAAAAGCATGTATCACATGCTAATGATCATTCCAAAAGTGATTTGAAAATCCTTCTCACATATATTTGTAATACCAATGAATTATATTTCTAAACCCCTACCTCTCCCATTTTGTAGTCTTTCTCTTACAATTCGGCCTCAATCCCTTAGAACTTGCAAGTTCCTCACACAAATATAACCTTAACGCATTGTATCTAACTCATTCAAAATCCTTCGTCTACTATGTTGTAGAGCATTTCTAACTTATATAACCTAAATTGCTTGACACTTGCAAATTCCTAATCCAAGCATAGCCTAAGTCACAATCTTCACATGGCGAGCTTGGAGCTATCCCAATTCAAAATGTCATTATTCGCAATTTAAATGCTAGCTCCTTCGTGGTCCAAAAGCATTAAACTCCAAAATCTAATTGCCCTCAAGTGAGTCCGGATCTCAAGCGTTGTCTTTTTGCTACGATTCCATTTGTTGCGAGCAAGCTAGTGAATGAGTTCGACCACCAATATTCACAAACTTGTGGAAAACCGAATGGACACAAGAGGTAGGTCAAAGCTTCCTTTTCTATTGTATAAAATTTCAAAACACGGACCCTTTCATGTGGGAATTAAGAATAGCAACACGGACCCTTTCAAAACACCGAATGGAAAAATGTAATGAGTGATGATTGGACTTAAGAATAGCAACTTTGATACTATATTAGATTGTGAGTATCCAACCTAAATCAATTGTCAAGAGCAAAAAGGTACAAGATAAATAAGCAATGAAGATAAAGCTTCTTTTTTTCACGGTGGGTCAACTCTCCAACACATGTCCATATTCCCTTCTAGTTTAGCCATGTTCCAAATAGATATGAAATTCTAACCTATGAACCTCGACTTTTGTGTGTGTCCTTGAGAGTATCTCACATTAGAGATGAAAGTTTGGCATTAGGTATTAAAAGGTCCTTTGGACCTCGTCGCGATTGCCAATTGTATTTTAGATACTTACACTATAATATATATAGTAGGTTAAGCACATCTTAGGACAAACAAAAACACTTGTTCCTAGGTAAGTAAGAGTTGTGGCATGTTGGGAGTATCTTTTGCATTAAGTACTTAAAAGAACTTGACGTTTCCACGTATTTCCAATTGATTGTGCATTGAGCGTTTATAATCTAACTTGGTATCAGAACTAAAATTAATAGATATCCTTGAATTGAAACATGATAGGAAACAATAGGGACCAAAACAGAATAAAATTGAAACAATAGGGATAGAAGTAGAATTTTGTTCTACAAAGAATGACATTTGGTGGATGTTAACCCATATGAGTTGGAAGAATCTCTAAAGATCGATTCTCTTTGGAAAAAGAGGAAATGAGTTTCATGACAATGTGTTTTTGTCTTTTTCATTACTTTCTCAATCCCTTATTAACTAACTAGTCTTTTCATCCATTTTCTTTATTTTTTATGGGAGCTCTTTCTTGTATCCTTGTTGTACGTTTAAAGTTGTCCTACTAATTTATGCGACTAGTGTTTTCATAAAACCTCATGTACCCACTTAGTATTACAGGTCTAGTAATATTCCTCTTCCTTTGTAAGTGTTTTCATATTATTACTAGCCCATTGTGAGGCTAAGCACACTCCCTCTCTCTAGTATAGATAATATCGTTTATTAAAAGAAAAAAGATATTAAAAACTCATGAGGGCTGCTCTCTCTCTCTCTCTCTCTCTCTCTCTCTCTCTCTCTCTCTCTCTCTCTCTCTCTCTCTCTCTCTCTCTCTCTCTCTCTCTCTCTCTCTCTCTCTCTCTCTCTCTCTCTCTCTCTCTCTCTCTCTCTCTCTCTCTCTCTCTCTCTCTCTCTCTCTCTCTCTCTCTCTCTCTCTCTCTCTCTCTCTCCATTATGAGACCTATATATTAGACATTTCCCTTAGTAGTATCGAAGTAAGACAGTGCCTACAAAGCCTATACATGTAACTATTAGAAGAATACGAATTTTAGGTGTTCACCATTGCATGCATTATGAGACAGATGCTCAAGGTAAAAGGGATAGAGAAAGATCTAGGAATTAGAAAGAGACTTTAAGAAAAGATATGAAGTATTTGGAGCTAACCGACGACTTGGTGTAAAACCGAGCCCACTGACGTTGTAGAATTCATACAACCATCCCCGCTTAGTAGAATAAGACTTTGTTGTTGGTATTTCACCATTCCATGCATATGGTAAATCCCCCAAGAAGGTTATAATAAGTGACATATGCGATTTTACTCTCAATGTAATGTGAATGCCATGACCATTACGGCAACACTTCAAGATAAACGGGCCAAGGATGAAAACTTGATTCAAGGGAGAACTGATGGATCAAATAGTTGGGCCTTATCCTTCACATTGCAGTTTAATGCATATCTTGAAAGTGTTTTAGGAATATCTAAAATCGCTTTCAGATGATAAGTGAAGTTTTAATAATGTGTGACATGAAAAGCTAATGCTTTTACATTTTAAAAGCACTTATGAAGCCTTTATGAAAAAAAACACCTAGCAAGTGCTTCTTCAAGAGTTCCAACTGCATTTTTAAGAAGCACTTGAATTTGTTAGAACTTTTTAATTGCTTCTAATAAAAGTGTTTATGAGCAAAAGTATTTTCTGAAGGAATATTTTTAAACGGGCTCTAAGTTTGGGGCAAAAATAATGTAAATAGTAGACCAAGGGACGTTCACGACGTGGTATGCAATCGAGTACTTGGTTTGGAGAATATTGTCTCACATCATAAAGTTAATAAACCTTGTAAGGGCTTTAGAAGGAGTTGGACTATTCTTCAAATTTTCTTAATTGTATCGTAATGCTTTGGCTCACGTGTGAAAACGGTCACACATACTATATATTACCTAATATGTGTTGTCAACAGTCACATGTGCTCATTCATTTGATATGTGTTGCCAAGTATTTGGTTTGAGTGTAGTCACATGTTACGGTATGTGTGACTTTGTGAACAATTATACCACATAAGGATATGTAAAAACCTTCTTGTCATGCAAAGGTTTATAAGGAGCTAAGTTGATCCCTCTAATCAGTTGTTTTAAGGTGGAACGTCAACTTCTTTCGTAGTATTAAAGCAAATTGACCATGTGTGAATCCTCACTATCCTCTATGCTCTATGTCATTAATTACATTGTCTATGTTTTAAGCTTGACAATTTACGAACACATCAATAAGTGTGTGAGGAGTTGAATTATTCCTCAATTACTATTTGGTTTGGCTTTACTCTACGCCAGATGGCAGACTATGAGGTATGAGGTCAAGCTAGGACGCTAACTATGTCAGTGGATTATCATCATACACATTATTTAGATGCATGCATAACTTATCTACATATATATTGTATTTTATGAAGTATACGCTTAAAGTTCTTTCCTATAAATACTAGTTAATTTCACATTTATAGTCAGATCATATGTAATAGACGAATTTTTTTTTTTTTAAAAGGATTGGTTTTCAAAAAAAAAAAAAAAATTTAAAAGGATTTATAAAAGCATATTTTTTTATAGAAAATTAATTAGATTGTCATCTTTATAGTAGATTTTATTTTCTTGTTTTTTTTTTAATGATGATGCCATATCCAACATAAAAAACAACGAAAAGAGATCCTCTCCGGATCTCTTCTACCAAGGTTACCAAATCAAGTGATCTGGACCTTTCAAATTTCATCCTACGGTCCACCTGTTTTGACCACTTAAAAGCTACAATAATTTTTTACCGTTTGATGAAATTTGAAAGGTCTGGATCACTTGATCCGGTGGCCTTGATGAAAGAGATTCGGAGATAATCTCTTCTCAAAAACAATGATGCCATAGATTTTGATCCTTTCTTTTAGGTATGTTGTTAATGCAAAAAATCAAATTGATTTTGGAACAACGTATAATCAATGTATATGATCTTCGAAAGGTTACTTCGGTCACCAAGTGTTAAGTATTTTGTAAATAGAGATAGGGAAACAAACACCAAATATATGTAGTTAATCCTAAGTTGGGCTATATGTCCATGAGGGTAGAGGAGTTGTCATTAATATTCAAGCACAATCACCATTAG